GAGATCCTGGGTGCTCTTCCGAATCCAGCCTCATGCTCTGGATACCCCGTGTCTCCCTTGTCCCCTTCCGGGGTACCTCCCCACGCTCTGTTATGCACCCTGGTCCACGGACTGACATCTTCCTCACTCGTGGTCCGGAAAGACCCGATTTCCCCAACTGCCGTGACTCAGAGGAGCTATTCCCGCTCCATCCGGAGCCCTGGCAACCGAGTCCCTCAGCTGTTACCGCGATTCCTTCCAAGAGCCCAGCCTTCTGTGTTCTCCCGGGTTTGGGGGGGTCCTCACTTATGCTTGACTCAGTTTCACCTCCCCTTTGCCCTCGCCTCAACCTGTCTCCCCCGTCTCCGGCAAGAATCCTGAGAACCAGTTCGTTTTCCTTCCTCCACACGAGGTCCCCTCCTCCCATCGTTGCGGTGTGCGTCAAAGACCCCATCTTTCATCCCCTCCCCCCTCCCCCCCATGCTTTCCCATCGCTCCATGGGCATCTTGGAGACGGGGGGGGGGGGGGTGTCTCCGCTGCCCCGTCCCAGAGACGCCCTCGAGGTTTGAACCCTGGGAGCGCGCCTGCAAACCTGAGGCCGGGACAGGATGCAGGGCTCCTGAGTTCTTTCTTGCCCCCTGCTAATTCCCTAAGAATCCCTGATTCGAATAGGGGCACTAAGATCCCAGGAAAGTGGCTCCCCAGGCTGAGCCCACGTTTCCCTGGGCAGCGGTCGCGCAGGAGCCCTTTTGGGCGGATCTGCAGCCCCGCGTGGCGCTCGTGGAGCGCGGGGGATCTTTGTGGCTGAATTGCAGCACTAACTGCCCACGACCTGAGCGCGGTGGCCTGGAGACCTCGCTGCGCCGGAATGGGACCCAGAGGGGCTTGCGCTGGCTGGCTCGGCAGCTGGTGGACATCCGTGAGCCGGAGACCCAGCCTGTCTGCTTCTTCCGCTGCGCGCGGCGCACACTGCAGGCGCGTGGGCTCATTCGTACTTTCCGTGAGTTCTCAGCGGCCACGCTTACTCTACTACTTTCCCTCCCTTCCAAGTCCCGCCCCCTGGGTCACAGAGTCCTCCCCTTCGGGCTCCACCCTCTGGATCCCCACGCGCTCCCGCTCTGGGCCCCTGGTTCCACGCCACGTCCCTCTAAACCCCCGCGTTTCCAAAAAGCTGTGGTTACCCTTTCCAGAGCGGCCGGATCGTGTAGAGCTGGTGCCGCTGCCTGCCTGGCAGCCTGTGGGCGAGAACTTTACCCTGAGCTGTAGGGTCCCGGGCGCTGGGCCTCGTGGGAGCCTCACATTGACCCTGTTGCGGGGCGCCCAGGAGCTCATCCGTCGCAGCTTCGCGGGGGAGCCACCCCGAGCGCGGGGCGCTGTTCTTACAGCTACAGTACTGGCGCGAAGGGAGGACCATGGGGCCAATTTCTCTTGCCGCGCGGAGCTGGACCTGAGGCCGCACGGCCTGGGGCTCTTTGAAAACAGCTCCGCCCCCAGACAGCTCCGAACCTTCGGTGAGTGAGTGTCGGGAGAAGGGGACCAAAAGGGGTCGGGCAAGTGTTAAGAAGTTTGGAAGCAGGGAAATCTGAATTCTAATCCTAATTCCAACATGCCCCAGCTGCACGTTGTTTTCCCCTACGTGCCTTGAGGATAATACGATAAGATGGTGCATGGAACGTGCTTAGTACATACTGAGCGTTTGATACATAAATTCAAGCTGTTCTGTGACTCCCAGCCCTGTCTCCGGATCGCCCGCGCCTCGCTGCCCCCCGACTCTTGGAAGTGGGCTCAGAAAGACCCGTGAGCTGCGCCTTGGACGAGCTATTTCCAGCCTCGGAGGCTTGGGTCTACCTGGCGCTAGGGGATCAGAGGCTGAGTCCCGATATCACCTTCGAGGGGGACGCGCTTATGGCCACTGCCACAGCCACAGCTAGTGCAGAACAGGAAGGCGCCAGCCAGCTGGTCTGCAACGTGACCCTGGGGGGCGAGAGCCGCGAGACCCGGGAGAACGTGACTATTTACAGTAAGAGGGAGTGACGCGGGCGCTTCGCGGTTCTGGGGTGGAGCCAGAGGAACGGGAAGGCGGGGCAAATAGTGGGCGGGGCCTTAGTATAGGAATAGGCGTGGTCCGAAAGTCCATAAGGGGTGACAGAGACTGAATAGCAGGCGGAATATGAGACGCCGGAAAGGGAAGGCCGCAAACCCAGCGAGGATCTCCGAAAGATTTGGCGGAGACAACCTCAAGGGGGCGGGGCGAGATGGGGCGGAGCCTGCGCATCCCGAGGGGCGGAGCGCGATACCCTTAGTTTGGCCGCAGAGCCGGGAGGGTTCGGGTAGATAAGGGTCAGCCTCGACCCACAGGAGGGGCGTGGTCAAGGGATTCACCGCCAATGCCCTGTCCCCAGGCTTCCCGTCGCCCGTCCTGACCCTGAGCGAGCCCACCATCCCCGAAGGGAAGGTGGTGACAGTAACTTGCTCAGCTGGGGCCAGAGTCCTGGTCACACTGGACGGAATTCCAGCCGTGGTCCCAGGGCAGCCCACCCAGCTTCAGCTAAATGCCACTGAGGACGACGACAGGCGCAGCTTCTTCTGTGATGCCACTCTCGAGGTGGACGGGGAGACCCTAAGCAAGAACAAGAGCGCCGAACTCCGCGTCCTATGTGAGTTGGCCTTTAACCTCTCGCCTCCCCGTGATTTCCAAGGACCTGTCCAGTCCCTGGCCCTGCTGTGGAAGTGGGGCTTTTCCTCAAGGTCCATGTCCAGCTTCTCTGTATCCCACGCCCCTGCCTGCAGACGCCCCTCGGCTGGACGATTCGGACTGTCCCAGGAGCTGGACGTGGCCTGAGGGCCCAGAACAGACGCTGCGCTGTGAAGCCCGAGGAAACCCCGCTCCCTCCGTGCACTGCGCACGGCCTGACAGCGGGGCAGTGCTGGCGCTGGGCCTGCTGGGTCCAGTCACTCGCGCTCTCGCCGGCACTTACCGCTGCACTGCGGCCAATGTCCAGGGCCAGGCAGTCAAGGACGTGACGCTGACGGTGGAGTGTGAGTGGGGGTGCACAGGGCGCATCTCTAACAGGGTCTAGGGGCAACTAAGCCTACAAGGAAGAGTGGGAACAGGATCTGAAGTGTGCCTTTGGGCAGGATTTTGGAAAAGGGAAGAGGCTGGCGAGTGGGATTAGGGGAAGATCTTGGGGAAAGAGGGAGAGGAAGAAGTAGACGTGTCCATAAGGGTCTGGGGTGCGACATCTGGACGGAGTCTTGGAAAGGGGGACTTTCCAAGCCCTCTAACAATTTTTAGGTCAAAGACTCGGGGACGGTCCTGTGGGCGCTTTGTAGGAATCAGAAAAAGGGCTCCAAACAGCTCACAGCTCGACCAGCGTGAAACCTCTTTGGTTCAGTGTCTTTGTGCCTGCCCAACACTTTGTGGCCGCCCTTGGATGGAAAGGGGGTCTAGGGACATTAGGCCAGTCCCTAAACCCCAAACCGAACCAACATATCTTCCTCCAGACGCCCCAGCGCTGGACAGCGTGGGCTGCCCAGAACACATTACATGGCTGGAAGGAACAGAAGTCTCACTGAGCTGTGTGGCGCATGGAGTCCCGCCGCCGAGCGTGAGCTGTGTGCGCTCTGGGGAGGCCAGGGTCCTGGAGGGCCTGCTGCATGTGGTCCGGGAGCACGCAGGAACCTACCGCTGCGAAGCCACCAATGCTCGAGGTTCTGCAGCCAAAAATGTGGCTGTCACGGTGGAATGTGAGTGGGGACAACACGGGGCAGGATGGTATGTGAGGATAACCCTGGCCTGACTTCCAGTCTCTGTGTGACCTTCTGCTCCCCAGATGGCCCCAGTTTTGAGGAGCTCAGCTGCCCCAGCAATTGGACATGGGTGGAAGGATCTGGGCAGCTGTTTTCTTGTGAGGGGGATGGAAAGCCAGACCCAAGCGTGGAGTGCATCGGCTCAGAGGGCACCAGTGAAGGGATGCTGCTCCCGCTGGCACCCCCAGACCCTAGTCCCAGAGTCCCCCGCATCTCTAGTGAACTGGTACCTGGTATCTACGTCTGCAACGCTACCAACAGGCACGGCTCCGTGGTCAAGACAGTCGCCGTGAGCACGGAGTGTGAGCGGGGCCCAGGCTGGTGGGAAGTAGGGGTGCCCCAGGGTCTGCGCCCCCCCTAACGTCCCCCATGGCTGCTTTGCAGCGCCGCCGCAAATGGATGAGTCCACCTGCCCGAGTCACCAGACGTGGCTGGAAGGGACTGAGGCTGCCGCGCTGGCCTGCGCCGCCCGGGGTCGCCCCTCCCCGCAAGTGCTCTGCTCCCGGGAGGGCGTGCCCAGGCCTCAGCGGCTGCGCGTGTCCCGAGAAGATGCGGGTACCTACCGCTGCTTGGCCACCAACACGCATGGCACGGACGCACGGACTGTCACCGTGGGCGTGGAATGTGAGTGGGAGCAGCACCAGATGGAGGGCGCCCGGTCCCCCAAACAGTGACTTGCAGCAGTAGGATTGCCCAAGACAGTTCAAGGGCACCTCCCCAGACCCCTTCCTGATTCCTCATCTAAACCTGAGGAGAATGAAAACTCTAGGGAACAGGAGCCCGGGCCCCCTCGAGTTCTAGGTCAAAAGGGCGCTGGTGCAGGGCCCCACTTCTCATTCCTTGAGCCAGGGCACAGGATTTTAGTGCTGATGACAGCCTGATTATGGGGAGAGGTGGCTCTGGTGGGAGGCAGGGTCCTCGCCTGCCCATCTGAAGAAGGGTGCTCTCAGATTGTGGTTGGGTGGAAGGTCAGTAGGTCAGTGGCTGGACCGGCTCTGAGCGGCCCCTCCAACCTCCCGTCCCCTGCAGACCGCCCGGTGGTGGCCGAGTTGGCAGCCTCGCCTCCCGGAGGCGTGCGGCCAGGTGGGAACTTCACGTTGACCTGCCGCGCGGAGGCCTGGCCCCCAGCCCAGATCAGCTGGCGCGCGCCCCCGGGGGCGCCCAACATCGGCCTCTCGAGTAACAACAGCACGCTGAGCGTGGCGGGCGCCATGGGCAGCCACGGCGGCGAGTACGAGTGCGCAGCCACCAACGCGCATGGGCGCCACGCGCGGCGCATCACAGTGCGCGTGGCTGGTGAGTGGCGGCTGGAGGGGCGGGGCGAGGGATCTTCAGGGGGCGTGGCCTGCGGCTTGGGGCCCCCGAACCCGGTCCTTGTTTCCGCTCCCGTTCCGCCGCACCCGAGACTGAAGTGTGCCAGGGCCGAAGTCAGGGGCGCCCTGGCGAGTGGGGTTTCGATGGCGGGTTGGGGGCGGAAGGTGGAGGGAGGACTGGAGCTCACGGGGAGGGACCCTCCAGGGCTGTGATGGCTGTCGGAAGGAGCTTATTAACTTGGGGTCGGTTATGTGTGATGAGACTTGATCTAATAATTCGCCCTTCACTGCGTCGCTGTGGAGAAGGGGGGTTGGAGAGGGACCTAGAGCAGAGGAGGCGGGTGAGGGGGGCCCTCGCCAAGATCCCTTCCCCCTACTTCGCGTATCTCTGTGGTTTTTCCGGGTGAAGGAATGACCCGGTCTCCCCCCACCTTCATCCTTTTGGGGGTGAGTTGGTTGACTTGTGGGTATCTCTGGAGCTAGGGGCTTCTATCCAATGCCGAGATGACACTCCTCGGGGTCGGGGCGCTGGGGGGGGGGTAGC